AACTGTAAAATTCATTAAATTTCTATTATGTAAAACTCAATTTCACTTGAAACACATTGTGTTTTATTCTGATTTTGTTCATATATAATAACAAGAAATAAAATAGTATTGTTTATTCTGAACATTAAAATATTTACTTATTGTTAAACTATTTTATGATAAGTTTATCATTAGACACTGCTTTTCACTTAGATTCATTACATGGATTTTTTTCCATTCCATCAAATTGTACATTTATTGGTAATATTTATAGTTTTACTCCTCTGTTGTAAGGGGCTGTTTTTAAATGATGTTCACACTGAAAGGGAGGGAGGGGGTTGAGTATTAGTGGACATCCATTTATTTTATTAAATTTTATACAGTATGCATTTTATTATATTTATTTCAAAGTTTCTTGTATGTTTCATTTCTGCTTATGGTATCTATCATTCATAAAGTGATGAAGGTTTTAACAGGGATAGAGTTATGTGAGCCGGCGGGGAGGTTGGAAATTCCTCTCCTTTCTGGCAACAGGTCGGTGACCTACTTTCTTGTCAAGGATGAGATTTACGTTATGTTATGCATTACGCGAGTGGAGGAGAGTCAGAGGGGTCAATGATAAGACAATGGCACAGTCGAATAAAGACACCATTTTTAACAAAACAAACCGTTTATTAAAGTCAACTAAGAAAATAAACGTTTCTAACACTATACTTCTAATTCACGGAGGAGAGAGAGAGTTTACAATAAAGCTTTCATACCTCCTGAGAAAATATCAGAATGACAACAATATGACAACAATATGACGAATTTCGCCCGTATTTGTAAACTATACATCGTTTTATCATGAGAATGTTTGTTTGGCCAGGAAGGGTTAAAAAATTCCCATGTACTCTATAGTTCGTTTCTGTAGTAAAGGATTAAATTCTTTTATGAAATTAAATAAACTTCGAATTTCACAGTTATGTTGGACATCCATAGAGGGAAAGGGGTTACAAAAAGTTGGACAAACTGGGACAAGAGGGGGAAGTAAAAATTTCAAGAAAAATGCACATGTAATTTATGGACAGCCCAAGTGCTTAGACTGTAGAAAATGGACTTACACCACTTTCAAAATCAATGGTTATGCAATGTCATTTACCAATAAATTTTCAATTGATCAAAGCTTATGATTATTTTAAAATGTTAAGTGTAAATTGTTTATAAATAAAAAATTTACACTACATTGTATGTATATTATGTGTTTTCTCAATTTTTTCCAAAAGTGGACTTACACCACTTTCAAAATAAACGGGCCATATAACTATTGGGTTTGGATGTTTATATTTGAGTTATTTCAAGTTGCCAGTTACGCTGCTCAAAGGTCCAGATAGCTTAACTGGCAATGCAAATACATGGTAAGCAGGCATTAAGAGTTCAAGTCCTGCTCTCAGCCAATTCTTCTCTTCCAAAATCTTCTAAATTAATAAAAAAACGAGATTTAAGAGAATTTTTACTTAAGTATCCTTGAAAACAATTACCATATATGTATTATTACAGTTATAATAAGTTAAATTATATAGACATTGCTCAAATAATTTTAAATTAGCGGAAAAAATAGTGATTGATTTGATAAGCACATCTTAAAGGTTGGTAAAGTATAGTGATTAGCATTTTTTTTAGATTATTTAGGAATAACTTTTACAAAAGAAGAACCCACTGTCTAGGTATAAGACTTGATTTTATAATTAGAGAAAAAAGTAGAGATAGCAAAGTGAAAACTACAGGTTCAAAACAATACAAATTAAATTTTTAGAATCTTGATTTTTCATGAAATGTTTTTGAAAATATAATGAGCAATTATTTATTGTGACACTGTCACAATGCTGGACTGCAATTTTTAATTTATTTACCCTCCACCTCAAATTAGTAGTGCCTTGCTCCTGTACATCATACTTTCCTGCTAGCAATAGTCATGCCTGTCATCTAACTACTTTCAGGGAAAAATTTTTTTAATTGATACAACTTGACTTTTGGTGCCAACCAGAAGTTTGTATATAGTTAATTGGGACTTCCTGCCCCTAAGTTTTTCATATCTGGTCTCAACTTTCATCTATCTCCATTCTCAAGATTAAGGAAGGATGGACAAGCAGACTGATGAGTGGGAATTTATAGGGATGCTAGCTTCTGATTAGGAAAAGGGGATAAGCTTTAAAAAAGTACATAACTTTTCATTTATTTTTCAGAACATTTCCAAACAGTTTAAAAAAAACTAAAATCCTGAACAGTTTACAACCCTACTAGTTGAGTTTAAACTAGCTTCTAAAATATTGCTAAAAGAAAACTCTGACTTTGAAGAAAAAAGATAGTACAAGATAGAGGACAATTTGGAGAAAGTGAATCTATAATTATCTTTTATACAAGATTTTCCAGTTCTTGTACAGAATATATTGGAAAACCTAGGAATAAAATTTGAAATGTTTTTGCATCAGATGAAATGGAAGAAACAATAAAATTAAAATTAAGTAGTACTTGTTCTAAATTAAGATATTTAAAATCATATGGAGGTAGCTTAAGGAAATAAGGATTTCCATTTTCTTCACTCTGATTTTATGCAGATGAGTTTTCAAATGCCTTAAATGAAGGCTGAATGAACATTTGGAATCTATGGAAATTGTAGTTTGGAAAAAAACAAATTGTGCAATTAAAAATATTATCAAATAAAAGGTCAAATTTAGCTTAATAGAAATATCAAATTGATCAATAAAAGTCTAATTGAATTGTACAAGATGATAGCAGACCTTTTTCCAGGACATTTGATTTCAGTATGGAATGGTAAACAACTTATGATTTAGGATAAGACAAATATTCTGGTTTTATAAAGAAATCAAAACATAAAGCCAAATGATCAGTTTCATTTGCAGGTGAAACTTGAAGGAAAATTCCAGAGGCAAAGACCAGGCCTAAAAAACTATTATAACCTGTGGGAAAAATATACTTGTTTTTAAAATTGTAAAAATAGAAAATTTCATTAAAAAAACTCAATTTAACAGAATATAACATTGCACAATAGATATAGACAGTCACAATAAATGCTCAGATATATGTCCTCCATCAGTCTCAATGCAAGCAGTCACATGTCACATAACGGACTATGCATCTTTTCAAATGTTCTGCTGTGTATCCAAACAGCATTACAGATGATGCCACACATTGCTCCAATATCCGTACTTCAGGAACTGACCCAGAGTACATGACAATTTTCAGATGGAATCACAAGTAATAATTGAGTAAAATTTGGCATCAGGCAAACCATGCAACAGGTCTCCCCAACTAATCCATATGCTGGGGAAAATTGTGTATAGATACTGGCAAACAAACACAGTGGATTTATGTTGGCACCAGTGCATTTTCAGATTATGTTAATAGGAATATTTTTTTATCCTGCCATGAATCCACTCTCAAAGTTTGTCCCACTAGTTCGGAACTATCCTGTATATTTAATTATTATTAAGCAGTACTTGTTCTAAACGTTTTAGGCTGCAGTTTTCAAATTGTAGACCTAGGCATTCCCACTGTCATCCGTCTCTGTCTGTCTGACTGATTGTGTCTGTCCTTTGTGAATCTCACAAGCGGAATTAGTTAGACAAAAATTGAGACCAGGTCTGGTCTCAATTTTCATCTAACTAATTCCGTGGAAAACTTTACAGGAACTTCCAGTCTGGACCAGAAGTTGTGTGATTTCAATTCAAAACTTTTTTGAGAATGAAGTTAGATAACTGGCATAACTTGATTGTTATCAGGAGAAGTATGATGTACTGTACAAGGGCAAGACACTACTAAAATCCAGACTAGACATGGAAAGTTTAAGGGTTGATTAACCATATAGAATTCTGGACTAAAAGTTGCGTGATTTTTTTTAATTGAACATTGATTAAAAATACAGCCCAGCATCGTGATAATGTCACAATAAATAAATGCTCATTATATTTGCATTTTCTTAAGTGTTGTTGTTTTGTATTCATTTGTGTGTATGGTATATATTTTTAACAAATATTACATTTTTATTCAAAGTTGCTTTTATAATTTTTCTATATCTGTTTAATAACTATTATTATTTTTTCATCAAATTTTCTTTACTTTTATCCAATCAACAAGTATTTGCACTTTTTTTTAATAAAATATACTATGCATAAATGCATAGTATATTTTGAATAAATGAAAATGATAGTTCTCCTTTAGTATCTTATTAATGTACTGTACAGTGGTACCTCGTATAACGTACTTAATCCGTTCCAAGTGCACGTCCATTAAGTGAATAGTCCGTTATACGAAACGCATTTTCCCATAGAAATGCATGTTAAAACATATAATTCGTTACGCAGCATAAAATAACCGTACTGTACCATAAAAAAAATGAAAATGGAGCAGTCACCAATTATGCTGGGTAGTAGGGATTGTATACCGGTTTACCGATTTACCGGTTAACCGATAAATTGAGAAAAAAACATTCTGTAAACTTACCGGTAATTTTTTGAAATTTACCGGTAATTCGGTAAATGAAAAATCCATTCTAGAAATTTGTATGTAAAAAATATTGTGTTTATAGATATTTAAAAGGGCTAAAGAGACATTGAAAATAAAATAACAGGTAAGTGTAAGCAACAATATTATTAACTTTATGTGAAATATTTTTTGTTTAATTTTAATTTAAACTTTCTTGGGTTTGAGAGGCACTTTAAATTGTACAGAAAGCTCTAGTTAGCATATGTGATTTGTGCTCTGCAGTTTTTTGAGATTTTTAAAGGTTTAAAATCTTTACAATCAACGTTTTTCTTAAAGAGTATGTAAATATCTCTTTTTTTAATATTTAAAAATAATAATACGTAAATATTTCACGTACTTTTTAAATTAATAGCAATTTTTAATACACCACATTATAACAGGACATTAATGTAATATTATTGTAAAATAACATTAAAATTTGAACCTTAAATAATTTTTTTACTTCTAACAACTGTTTAAAATAATTAAATACAAATATTTATTACAAGATTCTAATATTATGCCTTAAGATTGTGCAAAATATGTATTATTCTAATCCGATTTTCTTGGAGAATCCCCATTACTCTCACGAAAAGTACTTTCTTTAATTTTAGATTGTAGAACCAGGTGGAATAGCTTAATAACATGCTGGAAAAATTTTTATTACTTAAAGATGCTGTCCGTAAAAGTTTAGAAACCTAACCTAACCTAACCTGGATTATTTTGTACAAAAATTAGATCAAAATTAGGAGATAAGACTTTAAATAATTTAAGTTTCTTGAGAAGTTATTTTTTTAAAAATGCTAATCAATAAAATGGTATTAGGTACTATATATTATTTCTGTTGTATTTTTATTTTTCTGTATTATTTTATTTTTGTTTATAAAACTTATTATTATAGTTTGTTTAGAATAACACTTTGATTCTTGTTTTTTTATATTCTGTATCTCTGAAATAAAAAATGTGAAATGGAAATCAAAATGACTTATAATTTTTATCACCTTAATTTTATTTTTCAGGAAAAAAATTTACCGGTATTTTAATTTTCATTTACCGAATTACCGGTAAATGAAAAAGTCGGTAAATTTACAATCCCTACTGGGTAGTCAAATGTTGTGAGGCGGAGGTGGAGGAACAATTTCTTCACACATTAATACAGATATAGACTTTTTACACATTGCAGCAGGTCTTTTTTTTTTATTGTTTTTTAATCGGATTCAGATTCAGGAGAGGCTACCGGAGCTTGCAGGGTCAACTCCTCTTGTTCCATTTTTTTTCCCTGCTGGCTTCTTGAAAAACATGTCCAAGGTGGTCTGTTTCTCTGTTGTCTTCAACATATGTCAGAAATGACTGGCAAGGGTGTCATTGTAGAGATTGGAGGTAATGGATGGCCGCCATCGGTTGAACGAAACCTGGCCGTCTTTCTCCATCCATTTACATCTCCTCAAAGACGGTTTTTATCAGAAGGCTGTAAACGTGAATTAGTTAAGTCCACGACCACGTTTTAAACTAAAACAACATTTATTTACAACGATTCTCGAGTACACTTGAAAGAGAGCTACACGTGCTCATGGCAGCAATCACCCGACAATCAGAAGAAGCAACATTACCCAGAATTCTCTCTGGGAAAAACCCAGTTCCCGTTTTTCTATCCGGGATTCCCCGGGAAACTCGTAGAGGAGTGGCGCCCTCTCACCAGTCCGTGATTTGTCGCCGCAAGATCATTGATACTGTTGGCCTCAGCTCTGTTTGGATAATGAGTGTTGGTAAACTCCTGAACCTCTCCCCATTCGACAAGAAAGTTTTTGTCAACTTTCACTCCTTCTGATGATTTCTTGCATCGTTTCAATTGAAATCACTTTTCTGTTTTTTTAGAAGCCATGATTTGCACAACACTTGAACAATGTAAATATCCTGCACTGTGTTGATGTACCTAATAAACAAGGGAGCAAGCCTAATCCCACCGCTCTGTACTTCAGATATACTGATAATATATTCTAATAATACTAATATATTATAAAAATAGCAGATAGTCATTGGCAACGGCAAAAGAGTGGGAACATCATTCGCACTTGTTCGTAGAAAGTCTGTTGGTCGCCTCACGTAACTGCTGAACGGAAAGTCCGTTGTCCGCAGCCAGTCCGTTGCTCGAGTCACATAACGGCCAAACAGAAAGTCCATTATTCGCAGCGTACGTTATACAAGGCACCACTGTATTTATCTTTCTTTGGGTTAGTGGGAAAACTGACTAGAAGTTTTTTAAAACCCAGAATAGGGGTGGTAGAAAACTTTGGACAGGCTGGTTCTAAAAACTAAGTTTTGCCTTGTAACTTACGAATTTTATTATTAGTCCATTATATGATGATGATGATAATAATAATAATAATAAAATACATGCCATATTGTTAGGAAATTCCTGAATACAGACACATACACTTACACACTTAGTTAATTTTTGTCTTGTTTTCCCTTGTCTCTGGTCTGGCATAGTACACAACGACCTGTGTCAACCGAGTATAATTCACTAAACCCAGCATAATAATAATAATATAGGATGGTGAATACAAGGGACTTAAATATTTCTCGGCAGCTTAACAATCATCATATAAAACATCAAATTTAAATTAGAAATGTAGATTTTTTTTATTAATAAAAACAATTAAAATGAATATGTTCTTTATGCTTTAATAACAATAAATTTTAATTTTACAGGTACCAAATTTTCAAGAAATACAGTCACGTTTGGCTTATGTGTGTTGTTCAAGACAACTTGAACAAGTAAAACAGAGTGATTATTGTACGTATCTTAGACCACCTATTGATAAATATGCGACTTTACAATTTAAAAGCTTTGATGAAATAATGGTTAGCAAGATTACATAATTGTTTACATTTTTGATCACATCAATTATTTTTGCAGTAATTGTCATTAAGAACATTAAAGAATTTGGTAATTGAGTGGTGCTGTGCACAAGTCAGTGTTTTGTCTGTGATCAAAGTTTAAAGCAACCACATGACCACTAAACACAATTTTTCTCAAATATGTACAACTCAACAAGGCCAATTTTGTGACAAAGCAGGTATTTTGAAATTTGATCTATGGGTGAGATATTCAAGGTCAAAGTTTGTCATGTAAAATCTATGGGCTGATTGCTGGGTTGTAAGCTGATCATGCACTACATATTAATCAAGTTTCTAATTGCTGTTAATTTACATTGATCTCTACAACAATTTTTTATTTTAGATTTAAATCAATTTTAAATCCTTCTTTTCATACAGTTTGTTTTCTATGCCACAAAGCTCAGTTTTTTTTTCCTAGAAAGTACTTACAAGTTAGTATAAACAAACATCACAAAACCTGATAAATTTGTAAAGCCAAACAACCACCTTACTTTCCACAATTTCATTTAATTACTAAATAATTTGCGTTAGGCACTATTTCTTATTAAATTAATGTTTATTAAATAATTTAGAATATTCTGGAAGAAAAGAATCAGCCTGGACCGCAAGTTGTGGGTTTGAGTTCCACTCTGGGCCGATTCTTCTCCCAGAATATTCTAAATTATTTAATAAACATTAATTTAATTATAATTATTAAATTTAATAAGAAATAGTGCCTAACGCCTCCCTCTAGCGACAAATTATTTAGTAATTAATTAAATAAAATCGTGGAAAAGTAGTCAGGTGTAATCTGGTAGTTGTTTGGCTAAACTTAAAGTATTTAATACTTCAATTAAATATACATGAATTTATGTTATTTAAAGCAGTTTTACATTTTTCCCTTAATTTAATTTTATATATGCCTATGAAATATTTGAGAATTAAACTTTGTTAGCTTCTTACAATATTGTATTAATTTTATTACTTTTATGAAATTTAATTTAATTTTACAGGAAGTTGGTTACAATTACGGGAAAAATTATTTTAATGAGAACAAAGCAAAGCATCATGGACCATTATGTAATTACCAATCTTCCAATCAACACCATCTAAATTTTCAGGTAATTGGATTTTCAAAATTATCTTTATTTTAGCAATTTTTGCATTTAAGAATTATGGAAAAAAAGATATTTTGGTAAAGTAGAAATTTAAATATTTATAAGGTCAAAACAAAAGTAACAATCTGATTTTTAAAAATTATGTAAATAACCACTTTAAAATACTAAAATTTTCAAGTTAATTAAGAAGCAGTATTTTAAGCTCTGATGAAATGCAATATTTATAATGAAATAAAAAGGTACCTTTGCCTGTGGAAACATTATTCCCATATGCATTAAGACACTTGTCACACTGAAAAACTGTGACAAATGCAGTCATAGAAGTCTGTGCTCTGGGAATCAAACAAATCTATCACAGCAGCCATTGTGTTTGCATCCAAGATTTTAGAAGAAAAGACCAATCAGTTATAACACAAGTTTATACTTGTGTTATAACTGATTAGCTTACACTTTTATATAAAGAATTTTTTATTAAAATTTTTGTAAATATGTCTACATTAAATAGGTAAATGTCCAGTCTGAGTAACACTCATCATTAAGAACAGGATCCTATCTTTATATATAATACCAGAAATTGTATAGAATACTAGTAAACAGTATTACAGGTAATACGATGATCCTGTTTTCAATAGAATCATTTAACTGACAACTATTTTCCTATTTTAATATTAGACATATTAACAAGGAAATCTTTAACAAAATTAATTTTAACTGACAGTTATATAATTTTTTTAGCTCCTAAATAACAGATGTTTAGAAGAAAGGGAACTGGTGGTAACACACAAGTAAGAAAGGTTTACAAAATAGTTGATTAAAAGGTTCAGTAACATTTTTCTTTGGCTGTGCATAAAGGTTGACTAATCTTATAAATTTGGTTGAGTTTTAAAGATAATCCCCCTAGGATCCATGTAAGCATACCAGAATTCTGGAAGTTGATATCCAATATTATCGTTTATTCTACTATCTTTATAAAATTTAATTATTTGTGTGCACTCGTATCATTATCTTTTTTCATGATTTTTACTGGATATTTTTTTTAAATTTCACACACTCATTATTACAATGAATCGAGACAGCTGAATTTTTACTATTATGTTTTATGGAATTAATGTTCTTTAAATGTAACTTTAAATTTTTGTTATGTTTCCCCCACATAGATACTGGGGTGTGCACAGCTACATTCAAATCTGAATACTAATCCTTCTGTCTCCAATATGTCTAATTTGATCTGATTTTGTATGTCTATTTTTCCTGTTACTTTAGGGATTAATGTAAGATAATAATTTTTTGAAATTCCTTTAATATATTAGATTATTCGGAAAGTAAGTTCGTTTTTTTTACCACTAAACGGATTAGTCGTATTTTTCCCGCCATTTTCATTCTAAACCGTATTATCATTATATATTTTGACAGCTAGCATTTTAAGACTTACTTGTAAAAAATTTTGTTTGATTTTGTGCAATTGTTTATTTTTTGTGTTCCATCAAACATGGAAGATCAAAAGCATCATTTTCGGAAAATTTTGCCTTTTTATTACCAAAAAATCAAAATGCTGTTCAAGCAAGGAAAAAATTGTGGTACATGTATGGAGATGATGTGTTGACAGAACGACAGTGCCAAAACTGGTTTACAAAATTTTGTTCTGGCAATTTCAATATTGAATATGCACCACGTTCTGGATAGCTAGTTGAAGCCAATGAAAACAAAATAAAAGCACTGATTGAAGCAAACTGCTGAATAACAACACGTGATATCACTAAGAGATTAAATTTGTCAAATTAAACTGTTTATGATTACTTGAAACAAATTGGTTTCGTTTCAAAGCTCGATATATGGGTTCCACATGTTCTTAGAGAGATGCTCTCTTTGGTGGGATTTTAAGGAAATTTTTTTTTGGAGCTTTTACCAGACAATTTAGCAATTGATTCGAAAGTGTACTGCCATCGAATAAACAAATTGAGTAATATCATCAAACAGAAAAGGCGGCCAGAATTGATCGACAAAACAGGTGTAGTGTTTTACCACGATAATGTCAAATTTCACACAAGTTTATAACAGTTTCTGACGAGTTACCAATTTAGATGGGATGTGCTATCACAACAACTATATTCGCCAAATCGAGCACACTCAGATTATTACTTGTTCCGATCTATACAAATTTTTTTTAACTGTAAGACATTTACTTGAAATGACAATGTCAAAAATCACTTGGATTGGTTTTTTGTAAGCAACAATAAAAACTTTTATGAATGTGAAATCATGCTACTACCAGAAACGATGACAACAGGTATTTGACCAAGGTGGTTGATATAAAATATTTATTTATTATAAAATATTGTGTTTTTTTTTCACGGAAAAAAACGAACTTACTTTCCGAACAACCCAATATTTTAATTTAACTATTTTTGTTGTATTAATTTGTATTTTACTAGTCTTTAGAATCTGAGACTGATTTAGTTGTGTGTTTAATACTTTTAGTAATAATTCATTAAATATGTTTTTGTCGTCATTTATTTATTTTTCCTGATCATCAGATAAAGTTGTCTAGTCTTAATTTTTTCTATTGTTGTAAGGTATGTATTTTTCTTTATATATGTGGGATTTCTGAGTAGTAATTGATTAATTTTCAAATTTCAGCATTTAGTAAATTTTTCAATATTAATGTTTGACTATTTCTGATTACTCTCACATCAAAATATTATTTGATTGTTAATTTCATTTTCAGTTTCAAATTTTATTTACCTGAGATAGTATATAATAGTGAAAAAACAAATAATATATTAAGTATTCATTAACGTAGGGATAGATGGCTTTAATTTTAATTCCTTTAATATTTGAAATTCTAAATCTATTTTTGTCATGCTAAGTTCTGCTAATATTGGACCTATACAAATACCCATTGGTATTCCTTCTACCCATGAATAAAAGTTCTCATTATATGAAAAATAATTATTAATTAATGTAAACTGTATAAAATTTATTAACCAATCAGGACACTTATTTTCCTTTAATGTTTGTAAAGAATTTTTAGTTAGTTTTTGTCAATATGACTATATTGAATAGGTATATGTGCAGTCTCTAAGCAGGATCATCACATCATATCATATTATCTTATATATATATAAGATAACATGATATGATATATATTTCTGGGTGTGTGGATATATATATATATATATACCCACACACCCAGAAATTCTGCTTAAAGATAGTTTACATGTTTACATGTCTGATAATTATTTAAATATTATGTAAATTGAAAATGAAATTTGTCTGTATTATACGAGGGCTGTTTCTTTTTCAACCTCAGATGATCCATAAAACAAAGACAAATGCAAATAAAATGAATTTATTACCGTAAGTTAGGTACAAACATGGTTACTTTTCAACATAATCATCGTGAAAACTGAGGCATTTGTCTATCTGTGGATGAGCTTTGAAATCCCCTCTTCATAGAATGTTGCCTTAGTAGCAATATTCTATGAAGAGGGGATTTCAAAGCTCATCCACAGATAGACAAATGCCTCAGTTTTCACGATGATTATGAAAAGTAACCATGTTTGTACCTAACTTACGGTAATAAATTCATTTTATTTGCATTTGTCTTTGTTTTATGGATCATCTGAGGTTGAAAAAGAAACAACCCTTATATAATTTTTGTCATCTACATGAGATGGTTGGACTGATGAGGGACTGACTGTAAGTCTAAAATGCATTTCCAATGTCAATAAAAGCATATATTTTTTGGATCTGATCTCTGACTCAGTTTTCATCATTTGACCTACAAGGTGTGATAAGTCTAAAAATTAGTCAAATTTAGGCCACATACATCATGATACAGTTACAGACAAGAAACAAAAATCTATTTACTGTTGCCTTGGCTCTGCAAAGCACTACAAAGGTTAAAAAATACAAGCTATTACACATCAGAGAAAAACAAATAATCATACATAATACCTTTTATGCTACATAGAAATGTATAGAAGAGGGGATTTACAACAGATGTAGTGCAGATGTCTGTGTACAAACAGTCATGGAAATGTAACCAAGCATGAACAAAGGCACTGGGTACATGCAAGACAAATAGTATGTTAAACTCTATGCCAACTATTATATAAAATTACACACACACACACACACACACACACACACACACACACACACACAAAGTCAGACAATGACCATCTGATAGTGTGTGTATCTAGTATTATACATTAAGACATCAATAATAAGCCCAATATAAAACAAACCTAATTTACACAGTAAAGGTAATTTTTTCCAAAAGATAATCTAAGTATAAATATAAGAATACAGACAAATGTACAATATTTACATTACCTAATAAAATAGGAACTGTTATTTACATCATGTAACAATTCAAAAATGTTAGAGGGATATAAACGTACATACATTAAGACATGCAGTTACACATTTATTTTGATGCAAATCATGCCATTGGACATCATGGGTAAAAAGGACCAGAGAGAATTATGACAAGTGAGTCTACAGGAGAAAATACCAAGAGTAAGACAAAATCATTTAACTATGTGCTCTCCAGAAGTAACAGATAACCAGTTCTTTAAAAGTTAGGGAAGTATCACTGAGCTCACTTAGCTGACATGGCCATTCCCTTTTAGGGAAGGAGGAACTTAATCCATTCTTATTGTCTTGCAGTATTAAACAGTGAAACAGGTAATGCTCAATGCTGTACTGTATGCCACATATATCACATCTGGTGGTTGCTTTTTCTAAATCTGAAAAAATATTGTCAAAAATGGCCAGGTTCTGTTAAGAACTGGGTTGGTCTGTGCCAAGATATGTTAAAATAGATCAAGACATTAGGCAAGAAGAAATGTGTAGCAGCACATCTCTCTTCTTTGTTCCATTGCTGTTGCCACTTGTAGTTCATATTGTCCTGGAGGTGTTGAATGATTCAGGATTTTGTCATCACCAAGTCTGCCCTGTATTACACCTTGCTGATCCACATCCATCAACACCATTTTTCTATACAGTGCATGCCACTGGGTGAAAGAATTGCAACTAACTAGACTAGATGTATGCTGCCTAGCAGGTGACATCACATACGCGAGTATACTGCTGCAGAAATGTCACATACACTTTTGATTGACTATCTATCACAAAAGGAACAGGTGTCTTGTGAACCACGTGATTCATGATATTCTGAAAGGCACCTTTTCATTTGATCACACCTTAAGCATATAAATAGTGCATTTATCACTTTTCTTTCTTATATTACATGAACTGAGAAATGTTAGTTATTCATTGCTTCATTTTTTGTTAAAACAATCATTTATATAGCTTTTTCTTTTTATAAGAATTTTTTCAAATTTATTAATAATTTTATATACAGTAGATCCCCTATAAAACTGTTTCCTATAGTTACGATTCCTATAAGACGACGAAAAAATTGTGGCATTATCCGTACACAACGGTAAAATAACTCCTATAATTGCGTAAAACGTAATCGGGCAGCCAAACTACTTTCCCGCCGTCCGTAGCGTCACGCTACGGACGTTTAGGCGGATAAATTGAGTTTAATTTCGTCTGTACATATAATTATATATAAATTAGGTACTGTACATATAAATATTAGTGTTGTAACGAATAGTATATTCGGCCTCAGGCCGAATACCGAATATTCGGCTAGGAGCGTGGCCGAATAGCCGAATATTCGGCCAAACTATTCGGCTTGATTAACGCACGTACGAAAATTGGCGCGCAAACCGCATTATGGTAAGGATCCTGCTCTCTATTCGCCCGCTGTCACTACGCTTCGCCAATCGCGTTAATTCTTGGCAGTTGTAGCGGACAGACAAGAGTATCATGGAAGTATGTGATAAATGATGATATCAAATGTGTATAACAATGAAATAACCTACACGTGTAAATAACTGAAAAAAAAAAAACAGAGAAGGGCCGCAAAGTGAAAATGTGAAAATAAATATGAAATTGAGTCGATAACATAATCGAACAAGTCGAGGCAGCTTATTGGCACGAAATTCGCGACCGTCAATGCCAAACAATTGTTGTCATAGGCTTCAGAAAGCTAAATGCTTGTAATGTAAGTCACTTAGCGTGCACGGGCGATAGCATGGGGCCGTTCGGGCTATCAAGCTGTCTCGAATCTGTGAAATCGTAACTGTGACTTATATCGACGTCCTATCTGTCTCTTTTCTCCGTTATCACCAGGCTGAGTCATGTAATTGTAAAATGGGAACTCTAGGACGGAAAAGTGACGAATCGAAAGTATCGTGAGCGCGTATTATGATGTATGCACAGGCATACATGGATTAAAGCGATAGAGGAATGAGAAAGGGAAGAGCAACGACGAGCGCTTAAAAAAAGGATAGGCAGGGTCAGACCCTCAGATGTGCGAGGATTCTCCAACGATAGACGTGTACGTGTGCTGATCTTTGTAATTATAAATTGTGAATACATGTGACTA